GGCCAAAATCCCAATATCGTGCATCCCTAGTTCAGATCATTTATATCCACACAAACTTACTACCTAATAGATGTGTATTCCCTCTCATGCTTTTAATTCTTTCTCACAGTTCAGCAGCCAGCCCATATGAAGTAAATTCAACACCTGCTTGCTGATAAAACCACAGAAAGTTGTAGTGAACACTCACGACTGAGGTGTGAAAACGGCGTAGAAGACACTCTTCCTCCAGTCCTTGTGCCGCAGCAGGAAGACATCCTGGACAATGGGGGGCAGGCTGGGTTCAGGGAAGGAACAATCCAGACGGGCTTTTAGGAACGAGGTCCATTTCCTCTGCAGCGTGCGCTGGCCGCCCATATCTCCCTGAAGGAAAAAAAAGTAATAATAAAGTTGTGTAACCCTAAAGCTGACTGGAACAGGTCAGCAGTCTCTTCAAATTCCTAAATAAAGCTGTAGCTCCATGCTACCTTGCAGACACGGGCCACCCTGGACACCGCCACTTTTCTATAGAAGTCGTACTCCATTGCGTTCTCACTGAAGAACAGGTACACCTTATCGTCGTCTCCATCCGGACTGTCAACGCTCTCCCCCATGAAGTCCATGTAGACAAAGTTGGGCTCTAAAATCCAACAATTCCACATTTTAAAAAGGAGACAGAAGAAAAACAGGATCATTAAAAAGCCAGAAATACATTTTTTGATTCTCTAATTGAGCTTTTTAAGAACTCACCACTGAGCCAGGAGCTCTTAAACTCGGTGCGAAGAGCCAAACTTGAGCTGCGCAGGATTACGGGCTCAGAGCCCAAGAAGTTGATGGATGTAGCAGAGTACAGGTCATTTCCTGTTGGACAGGAACAACAGAGGAGTAAGCATTCCTGGAAATCCATTATCCTCATTAAAATCAAACAATAAAACATTAATATACCTTCTAATGAACTGGACATTGTGTTTTGACATAATAGTGTTCAGTAAAAGCAGAGTGAAAGGGTTAAATGATGGCTACATTAAATACTGAGCATGAATGTCATTCCAAACTTGGTTCTGTTTAAACTCTCAGCTGTTTTGTGTGTTTTGCTCAGTGTGGCAGACACTCACCAACCATGAGGGAGGAGTATCTCTGAAAGGGATCAAAAGGACACTTCCCTTTTCCCTCCTCCGGCCTTTCCCTCAGGGTCAGCCGGCCATTTGCAAACGTCTGTCGGAAACAAAGCGAGCGGAGCAGGACACAAACAGGACAAAGATGGAGAAGCATGTTGTTTTATTCACACATACGAGAATAAAGGAGCGTGGTTATATCTATTACTGCAGCAAAATAACCTCACACTGAACATAAAATAAACATTTGAGCACTTTTATTTAGTGAGAGAAGAATATTCTTTTATTTTCTTTAACTAACTCAGCAGTGACGCCATTACTGGTACCGCTGAGATTCCCTTTAAAACAAAATAGCTTTTTTTTTTTTTCTCAATTTATACAAATTTTTTGTATGTTCACCAGAGATTCTTTGAAGTTTTATTTAGCAATTCATGACTTCCTGAATCCTTGGGGCATAAATATGAGTTTGATGAAAAGGTCTGTTATTTTTAGCCAGTGGCGAATCAGCTGGATAAAAACCCAAAGCTATTCTGTCACCACACAAACTGACGAGGATGGAAAAGAATGTTCTACAAATCATGTTCAAAGCTGACCAGTAAAACTGGACGGTTAGACTGAGAGGCAGGCTGTGGAGAAAAATACTCTCCTACATCTCCTCTGCTTGGCCTTCTGACTGCTAGTGTCTTCCTGAGTTCCAAAGGACTCAGCCTGAAACAAACACTGCAGGTTATCAAGTCATGCTGTTGGCCTTCTGTTCTTCCTTAAAAGACAATAAGAACCTTGTTAAGTGCATCGTGAACACAAGCTTTTAGAAAGAGCGATTTTTATTTGAATATCTCTGCTTCTTTTTGTATCTCAGCTTCTGTCTCTTTGAACCCCAGTCAGCCTCGGCTGATGGCCGCTCACACTGAGCCTGGTTCTGCTGGAGGTTTCTTCCTGTAAAAAGGAAGTTTTTCCTCTCCACTGTCGCTACAAGCATGCTTAGTGTGAGGGATTGCCTTTGACTTAATGTGTCGATGAAATTAACTGGTTTTCCTTAGATAGAAAACTTTATCTGACAGGATGATGTGGTGAACTGTAAAGTGCCTTCAGATGACATGTGTTGTGGCGCTATAGAAATAAACTGATTTAAAGTTCGACATGAGCGAAAATGAAAAATGGCCAAAAATCGCACTTTGAGCCAAAATGGCCGACTTCCTGTGGGTTTTAGGGCATTCCTCCAAGAGACTTTTTTTCATGATTTGAGGAGATCTACCTGTGTGCCAAATTTCAAATCTCTGTGACTTATGGTTTCCCCCCAACTCACTTTAGGGGGCGCTGTGGAGTAATTTGGGAGAGGCCATTTTGGATTCCATTATAGACAGGCTATTTCACGCGGGGGACAATTTACTGCCACGTTTTCCTGAGTTTTTGAATATGCGAAGTCCCCGTAAAATGCGTTCAAAGTGCTACAAGAATAATAATAAGACACCTAACAGATACAATAGTATCTGATACAATATAATTTTTATTTAAATTTTTTACAATAACACTGGTACAACACATATAATCAGATCACTACATAAACAGCCCTTCTTTCGTGGCCACACCTGTGGGGAGAGCTGAAGAACTGACCAGGACTCATAGGAACAGACTAAGATCCCTCCATTTGCTCTGATTTTATTTTGAAATTGATTGAATTCAATATTTTTAAATCACAAAGTTGATTTCTTTCTTAATTTGTTTGTGGAATATTATGCTTCTACATCAAGTGATGAATTTATTTTAGAGTTTTTCATGGATCTTTACCAGCCGTGCTGCTAAATGTGGTCCACTTTATGTAAAACAGAAAGGTAGAAACAACTCGATCTCAGTAAACACTTTATTTCTGCACACCCCAGTTTTAACCCTCAAACATTAAATAATTCTGTATACATAATTATTATTGAGCGCCATAGGCTAAGGCTGAAGACCCTTAAAACTTATTGGGTTTGATCTGTTACTTCCTTCAATTATACCACATTGACCAAAGTTAAATGGCTGAATGTCGACAAATTAATGATTAAAAAGGATACATATGGGGTCCCAAAGGAAGTTATATCAGGTTTAAAATAATGTATTTGGTCAATTTCACATTTAATATGTAACTTTTTGTTTTAAGGCATATTATTATCTTTTTCTTCTATCTTCTGCTCTAGCTTTATTAAAAATAAAGACTTCTTTTCCCTAAAGTACTTTAAAGTTGAACAAAATTGATATACTTTCAAAAATAACAAGAAAACAAAATGTTTTTTGTGAGTATCTACTTAAAGTTGTTCAGCTCGGCATGTTCATAAAGCATTTCCATGTGTAGTGCAAACTGCTCTGCTCTTCCCTGAATGTTAATGTGCAACAAAAATGCAGCAAGAAAGGACAGAAACTAAAATAATAGGACCAACAAAGAAATCTGTTGTTTCTTTCCCATTTTGCATTGGAAAGAGGAAGAGCTTCCTGCTAACAAACATGTTGATGTGTAAGGAGGCTTTCATACAAAAGCTCCTTTGTCCATTGATGATATGATTCAGGCCTCAAAAACAGAAGCTGCTGTTTCCAACAGATCCTAGAATCAAAAACATGGTCATGGTAAGAAGCATTTCACACCTTTCCAATCCCTCATCAATTTCTTTCCCGGTATCGCACAGCGTCAACCGCTGCTAAAAATAGTCCGGGTGCATGATCGAGTGAAGTCATGGTGCTGCACTGCTAGATATGTTACCTCATTAAAATGAGCACTGTAGTCATTTATAGTCTGTTCACATAATATTACTGCTGTAAATATTAAGGCTCCAATTTGACTGACATTTGCAAACAGCTTCTGTTTCCACCTTTTTAAAATCAGTCCCTCAAAGCATGAGTTTTAAAGAGAATGTTTTGTGTGATTTTACTTTAAAAAGTTTTCATGTATAAACTGTTTTAGATTGTGTTACTGTTATGTATGCCATAGAACAACCTGTTTTTACCTATTTTGCAGATCTAAAGCCTGACATTTTACTCATATATTCTTTTTTTTTGTAATATTAGTCCACAAAGATTTGCTGTAGCCGACCTGTGAACATCTGGACCACTGGCCTGTTGTTAGTCCAATATACCCTCCCCATTAATTATTTTTTCAGTATTTTTGTTTATTTTAATTATTTGAATCAGGTGCCTTCATTTATTCCCCAACTCGAACCCAGAACCCAAACATCAAGGACAGAGGCCTCCATCCACGTCTCATCGCTGCGGCAACGCCTCACCGTTTCCACATCATCTCTCATTACAGATTAAATAGATTTGAAATGTTTTATTATTTTTATTTTCTATGGAGAGGACTTCTGATTTTCAATTCTTTTTCAGGTTTAATTCATTTTTGCTCTTTTATTTTTGTTTTCATTTTCTTTTAAACGCTTATTTTTGGTTTAGTTACAAGTTTACAAGATATAGTTTTAGTCTTATGTAATATGACTCGATTACTGAGGATAAGACTAAAAAAAACAGATTTCCTTTTTTTTGCAAGCGCAAGTTTTTATTTTTATTTCAGTTAACGAACAGGTTTTTCATTTTTGCATTAATTCATTGGTTGAATGGTCCGGACGCCGGACGATGTTACTCAGATTTTTTGCAGGTAGCCTAAAAGCGTAATGACCTCATCGCAGCAAAGCTTGGGCTCCATGAGGGGGGTGTTGGGCTAGTGTTTAGAGCAGTGCGTTGTGCTCAGAGAAGGCTGCAAGCATCCGGTTTGATCCCCACAGCCTGCACTCTGGGTCCCTGAGCAAGACCCCTCACTGCTCCCTGGGCGCCACACAATGGCAGCCCACTGCTCTCCCCGTTGGGATGGATTAGGTACATTTCTGCGATGTGAGATTCATAAAGTTCAATTACTATTATTATTTATTATTATTATTAAACAGGACTTTTAGTTTTCATTTACCAACTGCTTTCTCCTTGCCTCTCTTTCATAAAGACCAGATTTAATGACTGCTTTACTTGTTTATCCTGTTAACAGACTCTGACACCCGAGCGGTGGATCCCTGCACCTCCTCCAGAGGTAGTATGGCCTCTCAGGTCCTTGTATGATACATTTTTATTTTTTTTGGTCTTCATGATGCTGTTTATGTATTGGTTAAAGCTCTGTTCACCCTCACAGAAAGAATAACTCATTTTCATCTTGAGAAAATGTGAAATCTCCTAGAATGAAATATATGCACCTCACAGGTGTCAAGTAACAAAGCACAAATACTTTGTTTCCTTGTTTAAGTAGAAATGTTGGCTATTTATACTTTACTAGAGTTATTATGTTTTAGAAAAGTCTTCACTTCTACTCCTTACATTATAAAAACAGACTCAATGATTTCATAATTGCCTGTTATTTAAAAAAAAAAAAAAAACATCAAAATAATTAGTCATTCAGACAATTAATTTCTTTGTGGTTGGACTCGGTGCTGCCCCAAATTGTTGTTCAATACATACCAAAATAAGTAGTGTTTCAAGATGATGCAAAGTTAAATTTGACAAAGTTAACATTATATGTTAACTTTAACTTATATGCATATAAGTTAATTAATTATAAGAAAGTTTTAATCCAGAATTAGTAGAAAATTGTTCCTTTAATAGGGCAGAGGTAGATTTTTCCTGCATTACTTTTACTTTAATACTTTAAGTAGTTTTAAAAAATGTACTTTTAAAGCTTTTTACTCAAGTAAAATTGTAATCTAACTTCTACAATAGTGTTTTAAACATTAGGATTTCTATGTCTACTTGAATAATAAACAGTAATACTTTTGACTCCTCTAGTGCATTTACAGAATTAGTTAATTAAATAATAGCAATGTAGAATATAAAGCAGAACAGGTAACTTATTGTTTAAAAACTAAAACAAAATAAAGGTGTTTTTAAAATTTCTCTATCAGCTAAACCATTTCTCCAAGTATGGCTCATATTTTGAAATTATTAACATAAAATCCCTCAAAAGAAATGTCATTTTTACAATTCCTTTGATCTGCTGAATAAAGCAGACTTACCATATAATCACAGGCTGGAGAAAAGGCGTTTGTTCCACAGACGTAGAATGTAGTGTCGTTCACACTGTGCAGCGTTCGAATGTAGTTGCGGCATTCCACCTGCGGATAAAAAGGTCAGGGTTTTGTTAGTTCAGCCGTAAAAAAGCACAAACATGCCACACATGTACAGTTGTTAACGCGTGCTGCACAGAGCCGAGCTGCTGAGGACCAAAAGGTCAAGGATGTTTCTCCCTGGGCCTTTTTTTGGACATTCAACACAAAGCTAAAAGCAGAGCACTTCAAAGGGAGCTCTAAGTAAAGATTTCAACAAGGAAAAAAATCTACACTTCAAAACATAAATGATTAACAGAAACAGCCGGAGGCCCTTTTCAGTTTGCAGTCGTCCTTTAGGTTTTCCAGAAAATACTCTAATTAGGTTTTGTTTTGGAAGGTGCAACACAAACCTCTGCGTGTTTTCCTTTGTATTTGCACTCCCTCTGCTTCTCCTCGGTAACTTGCCAACGCACCTGCATCAGCAGAAGGAGAGGATCCTGTTAAAGCATGCATTAATTGTGTTGCAACCTGCTAGTACTAATACAGGGACAATTTTGTTTTTCCTTTAGCAGTCATTGCACAGGTAGCAGACTGCTGGTTTTAAAAGCTAAGTGCACCTGCAGTGACACACATTCACATTTTCCCATAAAAAAAAGCAGAAATAGTCAAGTTTAAATTAGAGACGTCAGTATTTTAGGTACTAACGTCAAACTTTCTTGTTCTTTCTTCTTTTAAATGTACAAAGCCTTATATTAAGCAAATAATAAACAATCCCTCAGAAATACAAAATATTCAGAATAACACGTCCAGAACTTGTATGACTTTGACAAGTTATCTTAACTGAGGTAGTCTATGCATCCGGATTACACCAGATTGTAGTTTCTCTTTAAGTGACATAAACACCACCTGTTCTAATCAGTAAAGTCATTTAGAAACTTAAAGTGGAGCAGCAGAGATGTCAAATAACAAAGTACAAATACTTCGTTACATTTACTTAAGTATTATTTTTAGGACAACTTTTTACTTCTACTCCTTACATTTTAAAAATTGACTCCTTATTTTTGTTTAATTTAAGCGCATCTTCACTATGGCCAGTGGGTATTTAAAAAAAAAAAAATAAAATAATTAGTTAATAATTTCTTTTTGGTTGGACTCGGTGCTGCCCCAACTTATTGTTCACTACATATCAAAATAAATAGTTTTTCAAGATGATGCAAAGTTCTATTTGACACCGTAAACATTATTCATAAAACTAAGAATCTGATCCTGATCCTTTAATTGGGCATTGCAGTAACCATTATGTGGTTTAAAGCTTTTTTTCTTAACATTTTTTCCCTGCATTATTTTTAAATTTTAAGCAGTTTTAAAAATTGTACTTTTACACTTTTACTTGAGTAAAAAGCTGAAGTTGATACTCTAACTTCTACAAAAGTGTTTTTAAACAGTAGGAGGTATACTGCTGCTTGAGTAAGAACCATTAATAGTTTTGACCCCTCTGTGGAGCAGTCGGTAGCACTGATGCCTTGCAGGAAGAAGGACCTGGAGGTTGGATGTTCTCCTTATGCATGTGTGGTTTCTCTCCAAAATTAGCAAAAAGTGTGTGGAGAACCATTCCTTTTACCCATGAAGACTGAGAGCAGGGATTTAATGAAGATGTAAAGGAACTTGGGCATCGCGCATACCACTAATGACATACGACGACTTATTTCTTCCGATTTATGAATTTCCTGACCATCCTGGCTAGAAATTAAAGGCTCTATCAGCAAAGATTGGTTGGAAATGCGAATCTTCAGTGTTTCCATTTTGTTTATGACAAATTAACCAAGCGACACAAAGCACGTCAGCATAAGTCGACATTACGGCGTCACCCATTGGCTGTAATAAACAGGAAGTAGAGGCTGCAATCCAGCCCAGACCGCAGATCAGTAATGTATTAACATTTTATTTGAATGTGTTGCTATCAGGAAAGTTGTTCTTAAGATAACCAGTCAGCTAGCAATGGAGATGTTGCTTCCATTTTCCGATTTTCACGTGCAAAACAGGAACATTCGGAAGCAGAGACAGCTGATCAGTCACGTGTGGTAAAAGTTCCATATGCCAGAGCTGATTGGAAAAAAAATGCTTCCATCTCCTGTTTTCTGCATTAATTATTTATATGCAAAAGCCAAAAACTACCTAAAATTAGATTTTTTTTTTGTTTTTTTTGTGAGTTTGAGGACATTCTTTTATTTTATTTTATAATTTCCATCAAGCTGTTCTGATTGGATACTTCAAAGTTGGCATTAGAACAAACTGATGTAAACAAACCTGCTGTGAACTAAGTGAAATTTCATCAGTGCAGACAGAGTGTCTGCATAGAATATAAGGAGATCAATTAAGGTTAAAACTGGGGAATTCCTTGCCAAATTTCAGTAAAAATTGTATCACCTGCCTTCGTGCGGCATCCGTCTTTTAATTATGAAGCAGATCAAACTGAATATTTTTACAAAAACATACCAGCGGCTCGGCCTAGCTGGTGGTTGACTGTGTTTGCTGTGGAATCGGATGCAAAGGAAGGCAGTAATAGAGTATCATTTATCTAAAACAGTATATGATCCAACACCAATGGAACTAAAACATGCAACACTTTAATGTAGTCATCAGAGGTCCTAAATTAATAAGGCAACAGCAGAGCTGATTCTTTTTATTTAAACACTTGTCTTTAAATCTGTTATCTCATTATTCTTTTCCAGGCAACCATAAACCAAACTACTCTAAAGGTCAAAATCTGAGAAAGCTGGGAACCGCTTCAAGCCACAAGGCAAGTTCAGCCTTGAGCAGCTCGCTAAATATTTGATCTACTGGTTTAACCACTGCAGTAAAATGCCATGAAAAAAAAATCAACAAAGGTTTAATTTTGCTGCTGCAACATTTCATTAAGTCTTGCATTTAACCTGTAAACATTCTGCAGTCACTTTTATTGTTGGAGCTCACAGATGAGAAACCTGCACATATAGCTTAATAACTTAATAACATGATAACTCACTCTATCCTTTTGAACAGAGATGTTGTTGATATCCAGAGCATAGATGGCCTCTCTTGCCCCCAGCAGCAACACACCCAGGTCCTCTCTGATCAGCATGGTTGAGTAATTGAAAAACCCATTTTCTTTGAACAACTTCAGGTTACCTGGCCGGAGAAAAAGGTCACATTACTTAGCTGAGCTTCATCTCCTTCTCCTCCAGCAACAATTCAGCAGCATTGACTCCATATATATAAATATTCCACAGCTAAAAGAAAAATGCTAATTTGTAGAGAAACTAATAAACTTGTCACTGGAGGTGGAAGAAGAAAAATCTGCATCCTCACTTCAGCATCATACATCAGGGGTAAAATATTCAAATGCATGCAGCGCATCAAATGACTTCAAGTTCATGTGTTTAATGCACTTTCTGACTTACTCTGGTAGGAGACGGTCTTTCGTGGAACACAATACTGAGCGCTGAGCACACTGAAAAAAAGCTGAAGCATCAATCCACAGACGATGCTTAGTGCTGACAGAAGAGACATGGCTTAGGGTCCAGGATCTGTTGACGTGCCGAAGAGCCGCTCTGTCCGGCTCTGACGCTCATACACCAAAAATCAGAGAACAAGCATGGTTCAGGATTTACTGCTTATTCAGAAGTGTAACCAGGACTCGCCCTGAATGGGTTCAGCTTGAAGTTGATGGGTATCTATGTCGGCGTTAGCCTCCAGCGCAGAGCTAATGAGCTGCTGGTGTCCTCTCTGGAAGGAGGAGCGGGAGCCATGCTGCCCGGCTAGTGCTGGGCTGTGCTGGAGGACTTCATTTCCAGGGTTCTGCCAAAGATACAAGAAGATCTATGAATAATCAAAGAGGGGTGTGAAAAAGAAAGGCTCTCACTGAAATTGAGAGACAATTCTTCAGAATAAAGTAGCTGCTTTGCTGCGTTTTGCTTCCCTGTTTGTCCTGTGATACGTTTGAAGAAGGGAGGATAATCACTATGCAGGGACGAGATGGCCATGCTGAAACATGGGAGCTGCTTCAACATTTCTGTTCCTCAACAAATACAAGCACTCAAAATGGAGAGAAAACCAGTGCATCACAAAAGCATTCACACCCCACCAATATTCTAAAACAACAAATGTGTATTCTATGAGTTTTCCAATTAATAAAATGGGAAATGGAAGTGGAGCTTTTTACAAATAAAAATATGAAAGTTGGCAGATCTTTTTGAGGAATTGTAAAAATGACATTTTGAAGCTACTTTCCACTGTGACTACAACCACAGGTACATATTTGCACTTTCTTGGCAACATAGTTTAACCTTGGTCTAATCTGAGATTTTCATGAGCAACAGTTTTAATCAATTCTAAAATTTGAATTGGCTATAGACTTTGATTAAGCTTTTTAATTTTAGAATATATTTTCATCTAAACCATTCTATTGTAGCTCTGTTTTTTTTTTTTGCTAGATTTTTTTAACCTATACCTGTTTTTAATTCTAGGAACCCTCAATATTTAGCTCCATTCATGTTCCCATCAACCCTGACTAGCTTCCCTATCCCTCCTCAACCCTCTTCATGATGCTTCCACCATCACAAACAGCCTCTTTCAGATCATACTTCCATGATCAACACACAACCAGAAACTTCTTTATTACAAACCCTTCACCGCTGTAAGATCATGCAGCTTAAAGGTATAGTGGAGGATTTTCGTGAATTCTTTTTAAAAGACCGGCCCTCTCCAGTTTAAAAAAAAATTGCACATGCACAATCCCGTTCCCTCTAACGAGAAGGAACGCCTATTAAACACGTGCGAGGGGAAACACGAGCCCATTTCTCCTCGTGCACGCTCTGTTTAAAACCTGCTGTTTGCATCACTGACACAAGCTTTGTCAAAGGAAGATTTGCAGTTTTCCCACAATGTCAGACTCACCACTGGTAAGTGAAAATGGGGACAGGCAGGTAGGACGTCCTTACGTAAACATATCACCAGGATGATTGATAATTAGGAGGACCACTTATTTTGATGATCCACCCGGAAAAAGAACATCCGCCACTGTACCTTTAACTATGACTTTGCAATATATTCACAACCTAACTGAATGTTTGTGTCACATTACATTTAAAAAGAGTTAGACACTGATTTTCATTTACAAAGCAGTTTAATATCCAGTCTCTGACCAGGAAGCTAAAGCACCTCAGGATGCTCACTGCAAAAACGATCTAGAAATAAGTCCACATT